AAAAAATAGATGGGATTGAGATGAACATAAAAGTCCCATATCATTTTCTGATATTCGCAATAATAATCGAAATATTAATTATTAAAAATCATTATATTAACTCCGCCCACTAGCAAATGTAAGCGCACGATAAGATACTTCCGCCCGGCATCGTTGATAAGCGCGTGAGGAATTGTTTACTTCAAGCGGCTTGTATGTAGTTATTGCCGCTTGAAGTAAACAATTCTTCACGCATCTATCAACGATTATTGAACACGGAAAATCTGTTTGTAGCGAACAAAAATACGAGCAAAAGGTAATCAAATTTATAAATTTATATATTCTAATCGACGAATCTTGTGTTATAATTTTTATATTTTATTTTTCCAGAAAGTATTTTCTAGAACATACACTATGGACACTACTTACATATATAGAATTACATGGAACATCCAATGTATATGAGAGACTTAACTACATAAACAAGTAATATGTTAACATAGTAGTATCTAAGATAATTTCTGCGATATTATTCTGTGATATTGTGATATATATATTGTGATAAGTATACGAAGCATGGTATCTCTATTCATAGGTACCCCGACAGCCAAACATGAAAAGACAGATTATGCGCAAAGTCAGTTATAAATTTCTGATGCTAGAAAACTAATAGATTGCTAACAAATTCTGTAATATCCGACAATGTTAGCAAACTGCTGCCAGAAACTTGGCAGAATTTGTTGACATTCTGTGCCAGCAGATTGGTAGTAGAAAGCGAACAAGACCTGCGCGACACAATTTGATGGCAGGATCTGTCCAATTTCTGCTGCCAGTCTGCTGACACAGAATGTCAACAGGTTCTATTAATAGAATGTAAACAGAATGAGATCTCAGATGAAGTCAGTCTGCTAACATTTTCTGATTAAATCTGTTGCCACTTTGCTGACATTCTGCTAATATTTTGCTGACTGGATACATGTAAATATTGGTGCAAATATATTGTATTTGTGCAGTTTATTTTGTAATAAATATGTCTATTTTGTATATAGTTTATTTTTGTTTTTATTAATTTTACATACCTATTTAATCATCTAATTATTATTTAATATCTACTTCAAATTTTAATATTGAAAAGATTACATGTATATATGAGACAAAACCCTACAATTTACTTTACTTCGCATTCCACCACCAGATGGCAGTGTCTCATTTTTCGTTGCCCATCTTATATACAAAGCTTTCATTTTTCTTGGTATATGTTCTGTGGGGACAACACTCTTAACCTTAACTTTATTATACTTTATTATACTTAAACATAGACATATAATATGTCTATGTGCTTAAAGCATAAACATAGATCTTATATGTATGGACTGGTAATACAGATATGATTATGTTCGCGGGAGATTGGAGAGAGAAACGTCTCTCTTTTTCTAAAAGTGTCCGGAAATACGTTTTGCGCATGCTTGATATATACCCAAATAAGAAGAGAGGATGTGCGTCACAGCGGGGTCCGATCACGAACCAGTCGTGAAAACTCGTAATTATTTTGCGAAAAAATACCACCTCGCCAGGAATCGAACCTGAATCTCCTGTTTACCGGGCAGGCATCTTATTCTTTCGACTACCGAGGCATGTGATGATATTTATCGCAATAACGTGTTTAGAACAACAAGTCAACAATAGAATGACATACACACATATACATATATTACAATATACACACATACATATATATATATATATATATATATATATGTGTGTATATTCTCTCGAATCCCCACAACCGGTACTATACATTAATGCATTCTTATTGATAGCATATTTATGCAAGTTAAAGGAAAGTTTGAGGTTATTTGTACGTTATTTGCAGAATATCGATATATATTTGCGGAATATCGATAGGAATATCATACTATATTTCTAAAAAAAAAATAATGATTTGAAAGTATGTTATTTGCAGAGTGAGTTATTCAGAAAATAGTGTTTTCATTCGTAAGTAATAATGAAGCAGGACTTATTGTAAAATAACATATATTAAGCATATTTTAATAATTGTAGAAGCATTTATGCAATTTTTTTATTTACATAAATAAATAAATAAATTTTATAAATTTTGAGAGCTTTAAAATAAATTCAATTCAATTATCATATTCTTAATACATAATAATTCTTAGAAAAAAAGTTATTTAATTGTTTCATTTAAAATTAAAATTTACATTCTATTATCCACTTTTTTAACAGATTTTACATTAGAACATTAGGTTCGCGTTGCTTAGAATTTTCAATATTTAAAGCAGAATAGATATATTTATGAGTAATAAAAAAAAGAACAAGAAGCTTAAGTGCAATAAGTATAAACAACACGAACCGCCTATTTATAGAAAACCATTTATTATTAGTCTCAAAACATTTATTGTTCAAAATAATTATAATTATCACATTTTTCCAAAAATTCGCATTTTTAAAAAGAAAATTATTCTTCTATAATTTCATTATTTAAAAAACGAGTGTATTGTGTGTCATATATATAAAATAAAACAACATTAAAAACTATATATAAAACTAAAATTTAAATATGCAGCAAGTATGCCATACATGATTCATTAAATATTGTAATTCTTATTTTACTCTTTTTTTATTATTTATAAAATTATCATAAAAATAAAAACTTCGATATAGAATTATATATCGTTTATTTTAAAACTCTTTCCACAAATTAATCTAAAAATTTTATCTGATGTTTTTTTCACTTTTCTTATATATATATATATATATTATTTTTTTTATTTTATTGCATTTTATATGTTTGACTATAAAGTCTTTCATTCTTTACTCTTCATCAACATTTATTGTTTTCGATCATATTATTATATTAATCCGCCATATGCTTCGAACTGTGCAATACATATTTCCGGACATCTTAAGAGAAAGAAGTATTAAAAAGTACATCTCCCTGTCTAATCTC